TAAATTAATTTTACAATATGCCTTATCTATTAATTTTACAATATGTGTAATATAATCTAATCTAATAAATAAATGTTATAGCTATATATATAAAACCATTTTCGGCTATATACAAATTAATTTCACAATATTGCCTATCTAAATATATTTAAAATGTGTCCTTATGAAGTAATCAGTAAACCCAACAATATTATTTTAACAAGCTATATAGTATGGTATTCGGTATTGGTCCGTCATCGTTATTCATAATATTATTATGTTTACTTATTTCTACACTCTCATAGGCATCTAGTTGCCTGTTGTTGTTAACTTGTCTAGACAATTAAAAAAAATTAGGATGGTATACCTGTATGATATATCTGTATAGCATAAATAGCTTTAGTTTTGTGTCCTCTTGAAGATGATCAGTTGATGATCGAAACACGTGTCGAGGTGTTAAAAATAACGATTTGGTGTTGAGAAAAAACTCCAGTAATACTCATTACTACACCAAAGGTTCCAAACAGTACATCATAAATACTTCTAGATATTTGACTTGACTTGACATATTTATCGAAGTGCTTGACAAGATAGTAGTCGGTTGGCGAGAGGTCTGGATTGTATGGTGGATGAGAAAGAACTTCGACGCTCATTTCGTTTAACTCTCGGACGGTGATTCGTGAAACGTGTAGACGGGCGTTGTCGTGGAGCACAATCGGACCTCTTCTGTTGACCAGTGCTGACTGCTGCTGACGCAATTTGCGGTACATTTCCTCGATTTCCCCACAATCGGACTCAGCTGGGATGGTTTGGCCCGGTTGTAGAAAGTAATACTGAATCGCACCAGTCGCTGACCATCATAAGGTCCATGTTTTTTTTTGGTAAGTCTTCTCCTTTGAAAAGTGCCTGGGTGGCGCATCGGTGTCCAACCACTGTGCTGAACGTCTTTTGTTTTCGTAGAGGATACACTTTTCATCACACATAACGATCCGATATAAAAAAGGGTCGTTTTGGTTGCGCAAAAACAAAGGGGAATAGACGTCGAAACTTGACAATTTTTGTCGATCGTTCAAATCGTGGAACACCCACGTTTTGAGATATTTGACCTTTCCAATAAGTTTTAAACCATCAAAAACCACATGGCAGCTGACATTCAGTTCTTCTGCCACCCCACGTACCGTTTGTGATGACTCAGTCTCCACTAGGTTCCTCAAATCGTCGTCTTGGATTACTGTAGGTCGACCACTTCGGGGCTCTCCTTCGAGCCAAAAATTTTCGTTTCGAAATTTCGCAAACCAACGTTGAACGATGCGTTCATCAACACTATTTTAACGAATCTGAAGCTGCCCCTGACTGATATGTCGGCCTGCGTACAAACATATGACATCACCGCAAAAGGAATGCAGTCGGCAACCGCCGGTTAAACTCTAGTTGAGTACTAGAATTCTAGAACGATCGTTACCGATATACATATAAAGCCGGCTTCTCGACCCAAGAGAGCAGTGGAGTTCAGAAAGTAAATCGAGCGGTTGAACAAGTAATTCAAATAGTGGAAATGAATTAGGCGTTAGTTGCTAAGTATTGTGAATAAATTTGTTTAAGACAGTTATTTCTCTGTTGTTGTTAACTTGTCTAGACAATTAAAAAAAATTAGGATGGTATACCTGTATGGGTGGTATACCTGTATGGTTTACCTGTATGATATATCTGTATAGCATAAATAGCTTTAGTTTCGCGAAATTATCCTCTTGAAGATGATCAGTTGGTGATCGAAACACTTGTCGAGGTGTTAAAAATAACGATTTATAGAGTACAAAATTCCCTATCAATCAGTATAGACTACGGCTCAGTTGAATAAATATTTAGTGAAATATAGAGCTACAAAAACACATGACATAAAAACGGACACAACTTTTGAAACAACCCAATATTTGCCTTAGACTGGGGATATTATACCATTCTAAGACATATTTGAGATGATTGCCGACAAATTATCCAACAAAATATGATGACACTTCAACATTCAAAATATAAATACAGTCACAAGAAAAGTAAAAAACGGTCTTTACTATCGCATATCATCCGTAAAGGTACTCCTAAAGACGGCCACCGTTAGAATTGACGAAACGTTGGAACATTCAAATCATAAACGACGACTAATAATCCCGAATCAATTTATATTACAATTGTCATTATCATTATTGCAGAATAAATTTCGTTGTTTGAAATTAATGTGATAACCTTAGTGTGAAAGTACTTACACTCAGGATTTCCAGTGCCTGTATGTCGTCACTTTCTCCACTAGGTATACAATGATTGTATTTATGTCACAATTTAAATAAGTTGGTCATGTAATTGTTAATGGAAATGCACGAATCTAGTTTTCAGTGAATAGGTTTCTTAAAATAACTCATTTAGATATTATTCACTGTTTCAATTTCACTTTTGGATTAGATTTGGAAGTATGGGTCTTACAAATGCTCAATATTTGGTAAGATCTTAGCACATCCTCTCGTATTATCACCATCAACAGGACAGTGGTTCTCTGACTTCTGACACAGAGAGACAGATGTTTAAGATTTCATCTATGTATCTCTCCTATACACAGTCATCAGGTTTATTTTGATTTCTGTTAGAGTTATTTTCAGAACAAATAAAATGTTCCTGAAGATGACTGTCATAATATAGTGACCACTAAACCACACGCACTATCAGGGTGTAAACACTCTAGAAATCAATTTGCATAGATATATTTTGCACGTATAATTTAGCCGGAAACCAAAGAATTATTCTATCATTTTTATTTTTTGTCACTGCAATTTCTAAGGCTGAGAATGAATCAACTATATTTCAATTGAAAGAGGTGTGTTTTAATTAGGGATTAGTTATTTCGTGAAAAAACTTGATTTTCTATTTCTCCACCATTGAACAAAAAATGTAAAAATATGGGACACTTCCAAGAAAATAAAAAAAGAAAATAACTACAATNGACAATGTGTAGAGAAAATTTTCTTTCGGATACAACTTGGAACAAAAATCCCTTTTGAAACAACTACTTTTACTCGATAGTGCTAAAAAATAGTGAGAAAACGAAGAAGAAAATTAGGAAATACAATAATTTGATGACAAAAGGTAAATCACTTTGACTATTTACAGAGGCGGCTTCAACTGTAGTGCAGAGGATGCGATGCACTCGGGCCCCAGATGTTAGGGGCACCTAAAGCCTCTCGCGACACATATAGCATCAGCTGTAACGTTTCGTAGCGAGATTCTGGAAAAATACAAAACATATATGTGCGCATGCGCCCGTCACGTGCAGCCGCTTGCTTACAACTGCGTACCTAAACCCATGAAGTCGTGCACGAGTAGCTCTCTCACCATTGGTTCCTACAGTTTCTACACAATAACTTTTGTTGTAATATGAAAACCGCTTTGAAACAGTTGAAAGTTTACATTGGGGTAGTGTCGCTCCGCTCCCAAAGGCACATGACGCTACCTTTAGATTTG